TGTGTTTGCGGCGGGGGGGAGGGAGAGAGGATAGAAAGGATATTTTGCTCGTGTCGCACATTAGCGATTTGAAATACTTCGTACCAAATATTTCAATCCGTTTGTTCTTTAGCTCTCTAAGAGCTCAAAACAGGGCTCTAGCACTGAACACTGCCACTAATGCTTGTCAGGCTAGCGCTCTGGTGCGTACGGCATTATTGGTACTCGCGAATCGCGAATGAGAATCTCAACGTTCGACTCGTGCCTGACTTCAGCAGTCAACAAAACCAAGGTGAAGTAAGAAGGGGGAATGGTAAGGAAAGAGGAAGACTAGTGCGCATTGCGTTTGATAAATTTTAGGTCTGAAATTTTTCACTGAAATACTTTCCAATGATACATGCAGGAAAGTGAACAGGAGTTTATGGCTGCTCATGCAATAAACACTGATCCCATTGTAGTTTCAGCATAGAGATATAGAGGCTCGCAGCATTGTCTGCTCTTGAACGTATAATCCATTGTTGAACCGTTGCGTCGCGATTCCTCTGCCTTTTTCTCAGAAGGTGCAAGGAAAGAAAAGGTATAAGCATCATTGCAATAGGAATTATCTGGAAGGTTGAGATTTAATTTTGCTCTTTTTCAGAAGTGATTTTGCTAAAAAAGCGCTAACAAAGCATCCTTCTTGAATGATCAGCTCGGCGTTTCGTTCGTTGCTGGTCAGGTAAGGGTTTGAGTTTAGCTGGAATATCCGAACGTGTAGAGCCGATTGTATGACTGTGGCAGTTATTCACCTAAAACTGTGTCCATTTCACTCGCGCGCTCAAGACTCTCGCTCGCGCAACTGGCAGCAGAAAAGCTAGATACTCTCTCTCTGTAAGAAATGAAATTTGTATAAATATATATAGTATATATTTTCCTACCTCTCTCGCTCGCTTCTCACGCTGCTCGCGTTTTACTCGCGCGCGTTTGAGTTGGACTCGAACCGCTCTCGCGCGCTCACTTTGCTTTGGAAGACCACGACGTCGATAACCAACCAATGAAGTGGCCCCGACGCGTCTCTCGCTCGCACTATACGATTCGCTCTCGCTCGAAGCTTTTGACTTTCGCACGCTCGCTTCCCCGACTGCCCATTCCAGGTCTCCTTTTAGGTGGGTAGCTGAATTATGACACGTAAGAAATTTGCACGCTAAGTAGCTTAAAGTGAGGAGCATCGCGCTCTTCTCGCTCCGCTCTCTCACCGTTTTAGGGATTGATCACGTGCTGACTCTCTTCGTTAGCTTCGCTATAATCGTAGAATCTATTATCTCGAGGAACTCTCTCGCGAGAGAAGGCCGCTCCTCTCGCTCGCTCGCACACCTCGGACCGTAAGGCGCTGTACCGGAGGGCTCGCCTGCATTCTTCCTTTATGTCGCTTATTCGGTTGTTCTTTTATTGTCGAAAGAACAACTTGCTGATCAAGTTAATTGCCGTTTGGAAGCTTTGACAAGTGAGGTAGGTGATGTACCTTGTACATGATTATTGTTAAATCGTAACACAGGGTTATACTTTTTAGCAGTCTTCTCTGACCTCCTCTCCCTCGCCCCTCTTCGCCTAGGGAAGCATAAGCTGAGATCACAAAGCGATCCGGGCTAACCCGCTAGTGTTTATGAGGATGCGACTCTCAGAGTGCCGATCCTTTTCTGTCCTACAGCCAGCGGATTACAAGGACTTCAAGACAACGCATCATTCTTCATCGTCATGGCGCAGTATCGTCTGCGAACTATTTATAGTCACGTTACTCGGATCCACTAGGAAAGCACTTGCAAGGAAGCGTGAGCTTGAAACACAAAACATCCATAGCACTCCTAACTTTAATTTTATCTCAAGACAGGAATTACAAGTCCTATCTGAAGCGAATTAGACTCTCCGGCAATGTTAGGAGGTGTCGCCGTAGAACATGAACGTTGCTTGGGGTAACTGCGAACCACTCGCAACAGCTGATTGGACAGCCAGACTAGCTAAACTACAAAACATTTTCTCTGTCTTATTCGTTCAAATCAACTTTACTCGTAAAAGACCCACCAGCACACTCTGCCACGCACCCCATGCTGCAAAGTCGGTCACAAGCCAGACAACTATATGTAACGTGTCCCTCATAGTTAAGCTTTACTCGAGGAAGGCTCCTCACCGATAGTGTTGCGATTTAGCATTCTTCGCACTGATACTTCTCGTCTTTATTAGTCAACTGGAATCGCGGTCTTTTCTGGTTACGTTAACTCGCATTTCGCGTATTTCCAATGTACATGGGTTACACCTGCCAACTCTCGCCGCGCTCAAAACGCACGCTCGCCCGTCGGCCTAACCGCTTCTTTTAATCCCGCCCCTTTTTTTCAGAAACAAGCATGGAACACAGTAGTCACGTCGCTGCTCTCTCTCTAGGTGATTCCAGGTGGCTATTAGCTCTCACTCTCAAGATAGTTTATATATATTTGCTCTCACTCTTCATCGCGCTGAATTCACACATGCTCCCCCTAGTGCGTCAGTGAAGCCTCCTTTTTGCTTTCATTAGACCCAGCTTTGTTGAGAACACAGTAAAGCACATCCCTGACAGCACACAAGCTCATCCTCGCGCAGACGCCGACGCTTAAGCCGAACTTAGATTTCCTTCTCTTCGCTATAAGGGATCTGGATATGTGCCTGAGGTCTGAGATCAATGCCTCTTGTCGTGGAATCATGCTACCTCTCGCTCGCTCGCGCTTCGGGCCAGAGTGACGAATGGCCACGTACTCCTTGCGCGATGGCGTATGAACTGTAGCCGCATCAGAAGGAATCCTGCCTGTTTTTGATTGATTTGTTTGCTTAAATTGTTTTATTATTGTTCATTGCAATCCTTTTCACTTGTTACATAGTGCTTTTTGTTTATCTTTGCATTGTTGCATTATGCCATTGCAGCCGCGTTTATTGCGCACGAGCAAGCAATAATCGCCGGCAGAACAAGTTCGTTTAGACAGCTTGCCCGGATACATCCCTCCTTTTTTGAGGTTGGTGAGGGGAGTTCTTCTCTAAGGACTTTATTAGCGATTTTTTTGTTTCTTTTCCATGTGCAGTCAACTCGGCGTCCAAATTTTCATTATGGACCGCTTGTAGCCCACCGTCGGTGTGAGGGTGTTCCTTTAATCTAGCTAGTCCATACATTTTGAGAGGTGGCCTGCGCCGATAAACACGAAATCTTCAAGGAACACTTCGATTTTGCACCAAGAATGCAAATGTATCCCGTTTCCCAATGACCATGCTCACTTTGGCAGAAAACAAGTGACTACTTCATAGAAATGGGAACAAACGCTGTCTAGGCATCAAACTTAACATTTTTTATTTTTGTCCGTATAATGAACAAGTACCTTACTGCTTCCGAGCGACTACCCAAATACTGGCATACCCAAGACTAGCGCGACAACAACACCATTTGGCGATCGCCCTACAGAACACAATTGACTGATCTGCACTCATTAGGGTGGCTGATCCAGGAATCGTTAACAGACGTTTCCGCACTCTCTCTCGAGCCAAGCGGTCATGTTTTTGGCAATTAACCTCCGCTCTTAATAGGCCACTCTTATTGTTTGAGTTAATTCTGATATGTTCAGAATGGCGTGTTAGTTGTATTAGGTCGGTCCACAATTTTTGAGAACCTTTGGTGTTTTTCGATTTATTACTTATCTTATTTCTCTGATCTACTTATCCAGCATAGTATACATCATTATTATTAACAACATATCGCCAATGCGAGGGTGGGTATTCAGTGCCTCTCTTGTGGACTTTCATAGAGTTCTGATCGAAGGAAAATTTGTAGTCCCGAATCAGTTCTCAACCCAATCCGACATCATCAAGTTCCTGTAGGTTTCCTATAGTTCCTTCGGATGACCATCTATAATACTCATTGGTGATGTGGACTGGGTGCAGTGTGCTAACAAATCCACGAGCCGCAGTAGATTTGCTCAAACGATTCGGGAGTTCTGACAGTACAAACCCAACTCCCTCTGAATTCGAACTTCCTGAGTCGTTGGCGCAATACGGGAGGGCCTTTGCGCTGAAGACCGGCATCAACTAATACCAGTGTCAGTGATGGGAAGAATCGTTGACAGCTTGATGGCAACGCCTTCAACTTGAAAGCAAAGGAAGACAAAATCTATTTTTCTCTGAGGTCGTTCGAGCCCGCCTTGCTAAGAAAATTCCTAAAAAATTGGAGACTTCTCGGGCGGTCAGTTCTTTTAGCTCCGCCTTATAGCACTAATCCTGCGTCAACCGAGGCGCTCATCTGCTCCTCTCCTCTCTCAATCACCTTCTGGAGAAGAAATCTCACTTGAATCACCATAAAGTCAAAATCGACATCCAATATTTCTTCGATCAGAACTCTATGAAATTCTATAAGAGGGACACTGAATACCCACCCTCGCATTGGTTATATGTTGGTAATAATGGTGATGTATACTGTGCTGAATAAATACATCAGAGAAATAAGATAAGTAATTAAGTCGAAAAACACCAAAGGTTCTCAAAAATTATGGACCGACCTAATATTTTGCCTCGAAGATTGCAAACCACCATGTAATGCTTTCCATCTCGCAGTTTGTGTAAACTAGCACGAAGGTATACCAGCAGGACAGAAGGGAAGAAAAGTCGACCGTGGTTCCACGTTGCAGGCGAGCACAACAATCATGGAGCATTCTGACTGCGCGTGGACTTATGAATTGATGCTTATGAGTTGATGTGGGTGTCACTAGAAGTCAACGCTGGCATGTCCCAGAAGAACCATCGCTTGTATTCTTCTCAGGTAAGGTAATTAACGAACCGAGAGGAAATTCGCTTCTATCTTCAGTTACAGAAGTCATTCATTGGACTTTTGACATAAGTAACTTTCAGGTACCATTGGTAAAAGTATCTTTTAACAAGATTGTGTACTCCAAGACCATGTTTGTAAAAAAATATAAATGCGCTCTCCAACAGTATCGTTGATAAACTTAAGCAAATTGCAGAATAAAGGAAATTGATTATGACTCGAGCATACCGATGGTCACCAACCGTAAGCATCTCTTTTTGTTAATAATAGCAAGGATTTGCTGGACGACTACACTGATCAGGCTGACAATGATGGCTAGTAGAGAAATGGCTGCCACTCTGCCCCTAACTGCGGTCTTGACGGTAGAGCAGCTGAGATTTGGTTCATTGAACGATGCACCTGCGCAGACGTACAGAACCATGCCGCTAGGGATAACGCCCTGAAATGATTTTTTTCTGACCACACGATTACTGTACGTGCAAGAGTGAAAAAACTACGGACAGCCTCCTCCTGGACTTTGTCAACTGTTTTGATGAGCCACTAAGCCAAGTTGGGTACCAAGTTCATATGATTGAAAAGAATTACCGACGATTCTCACAATAAGAGGTCGCTTGGGTCAGCCATTCCTTCAAAGCGAGATTACGATAAGTTTTAAGTTTAGAGTCCACAGTGGAAGTGGGAATGCCCCAGTGGCGGGAAAGAAAAAAATTAGAAAACGCGCAAAGTGGGACCTTTTCTCTGGCCGTTGCCCTGCGATAATGGAACCAACCGAGAGGTTGTCTGCACATGTTAAACCGATAGCCGCTATCATTCTAGCAAAGATCGTGCTTTGATTGATGACGCATTCCATGGGAAGTTATAGGATACACACTCGAAGTGGAATATCTCATCCAAATGATAAGAACAATGATGGTTCTAGAAACGCACTAATGGGCCGAGCACAAGCGGCGGAGGCGGAGATCAGGAAGCTGGCAGACCTAGGGCGCTGAAATAGCACGGCTAAGGTACATATCTCATAGCTGGATAGTATTATTCAAAAACTTTCTGGACTAATAAGAGTTGAGTGACAACTATAAAAAATTCGTACCGAAACAAACACGTAGATTATCCCGGACGTCTTATTCCACGATTCGTAGGAGTTGACGTAGATGGTAGCAACAGCCCTCTCGAAGCTCATCACCGGTTGCAAAATAAGCATGTAAAATAGGAAATATAATATGATAATACCGTAGAAGGAGTCGAAGCTTCGTTTTGGAAATATATCGCATGGTTCGCGATGATTTAGCCAAAGTAATGCCTGATATATCTGAAAAATTTCCTCAATCGGAATACGAAAATTCCAATTTTGCAAACACCACAAAGGAAACACTGAACCACCTCAGAGCCTCAGAAAATTTTGGTTCAACTAAGTGACGTCTTCATTTTTTCGTGGTCATCAATCACATCACAAACATTCCGGGCCTTTTTCCTCTTGAGCCTTTTTCAAGGTCTATGAATGTTGAACATTATATGCAACAGAAACTAACATTCAAAAGCGTCAAAAAAGAATATCATGAGCTCGGATAGTATAAATGACCAAAAGCGACCCATGTCAAGGAGTGAAACCAAAGAAAGTAAGCAGGTCCAAAGATTGAGGGATTTGCTGCCGAGATATGGCTGAGCAATACCGGTTGTTGTCGGAATATCAAAGGGGTTGTTATCTATGAGCTCCTTTCAACAGTTTACTTCCATTAGACACAAGAAAGAGCTCAAGATTGAGAAATTTGCTTCCAGAGATTTTCGTTCCCTGAGCAGTGCAATATAAGCCCAAAAAAATCGAAATCGAAAAATGACCAGTTTAGTCAGGTTGACAAAAAAGTCCTGCTACACTTAGACGGGTTTCTTTCTCGTTTTGGAGACTTTTTTACTGAATGAGAATTCATTCAACAGGATTAGCTTCGCAAGAGATACAGCCAGTTTTGTGCATCTTCTCAGCCGTCTACCCTCATAAGTCTGGCTATTTTAATGAAATAAGGTCATTTTTGAATTGACATAGTTATCGAACTCTTTATCGCTCCAGTGTCTAGGTGCGTAGTCGGACGCAGTTATCCCAGCGAATGAGCTGTGCGAGCAGTACCTCCAACCATTGTGCATAGCCTTTTGACATGTAATCTTTGCTGGATGCATGTACGCATCGTAATGGAGTACGAGGATGTTGAGACCCGCAAATTTTTGGTATGTCGTGGAGCAATTCGTAAGCTACAGTTCTCTAGGAAACACAATTTTGCAGTCCTTTCAATATATTCTATTATTTTCAATGAAGACTTACGATTCAGACGCGGTTAGTCTATGTTGGTGAGGCACAGAATGTCTGAGCATGAGAGGCTTGACACTGTTGCGACCTGAAGCCGAAGGACACAAGCCCTCGCTTTGAACGTTGCCACTTTTACTCATTAGCACCGGTGTGCTCTCTCATGTGTTCCGTATCCTCACCGAGCAGGGTCTATCGCGGTCGATCTCACAAGAACTCTAAATGAGGGTTTTCCACAATCAATTTTGCCTTCTTCTTAGCAAGGCCTTCTTTGCACCTCTCCATTTCTGCGCAACAATACACCAAATCAATAGCGATCCATGCCTTCAAGCACGTTTGTGCGGTTCGTCGAACGGCACTAGCTCTGTGGCATCCATTGCGGCTTCAGTGCCCTAAATCTTACGAGGAGATGCTCATTGACTTTCAGTTAGATGCAGCTATACTTTTGCCAACTTACGAATGATTGCAATCGCCAACGAGAAGACTTACCACATCACCTTCAGGGACAAGAAT